ACATTTTCTCTGTTCTCTCTCCTCTACTTCAAGGAACTTGGTAAGTTTATTTAATTTTATTTTTTTTGCTTTTTTTTTTGCCATTTTAAGTTCGATTGTTTATATATTTGGTTCGATTTTGTTGATTTTTTTTGGCGATTTAAAGTTTGTTTTTCTGTTTTTTTATTTTTTTTCGATTTTTAAGAATATATTTTTCGAATTTCCAGTTTTTTTTTCGATTTTTTATTTTCAAGTTGTTTTTTCGATTCTTTTTTTCGATTTTCCAGTTTTTTTTTTATTATTTTTTATTTTCCAGTTTTTTTTTTGTCGATTTTCCATTTTTTTATTGTATTTTTCAGTTTTTTTTTATCCAGTTTTTTTTTTTTTTGTCGATTTTCCTTTTTTTTCGATTTCTTATTTTCAATTTTTTTTTACGATTTTTTTTCTATTTTCCAGTTTTTTTTTGTCGATTTTCCATTTTTTTTTTATTTTTTATTTTCAAGTTTTTTTTTTTATTTTTCAGTTTTTTTTTTGTCGATTTTCCATTTTTTTCGATTTCTTATTTTCAATTTTTTTTTACGATTTTTTTTCTATTTTCCAGTTTTTTTTTTTGTCGATTTTCCATTTTTTTTTTTTATTTTCAAGTTTTTTTTTTTTTCAGTTTTTTTTTGTCGATTTTCCATTTTTTTCGATTTCTTATTTTCAATTTTTTTTTCGATTTTCCATTTTGTTTTTTATATTTTCCAGTTTTTTTTTCGTTTTTTTTTTCAGTTTTTTTTTCGATTTCAATTTTTTATTTTTCAATTTTTTCCTCTGTTTTTTCCCTAATTTTTTCGCTTTTTTTTTTTAAGTTTCTAGTTTTCATTTTCAATTTTTTTTTTCCAATTTTTTTTCTTTCTTGAGTTTTTCTATTATTGGATTTTAATTTCAAATTGTTTTTTTTTACTATAATAGAAAACTTTAGAACATAATAGAAATACCTTAGAACATATAGATAGAAAATGTTAGAACATAATAGAAATACTTTAGAACATAAGGGAAAACTTTAGAACATAATAAAAAAATTTAGAACATATAGATAGAAAATGTTAGAACATAATAGAAATACTTTAGAACATAAAGGAAAACTTTAGAACATAATAGAAATACTTTAGAACATATAGATAGAAAATGTTAGAACATAATAGAAATACTTTAGAACATAAGGGAAAACTTTAGAACATAAGTAAAAAATATAATAAAACATAACAGAAAACTTTAGAACATATGGGAAAACTTTAGAACATAATAAAATACTTTAGAACATATAGGAAAACTTTGTAACATAATAGAAACATTATAACATAATAGAAAACTTTAAAACATAATAAGGGAAAACTTTAGAACATAGTAGAATACTTTATAACATAATAGAAAATCTTAGAACATAATATAAATACTTTAGAACATAAGGGAAAACTTTAGAACATAAGGGGAAAATATAATAGAACATAATAGAAAACTTTTGAACATAATAGCAAATTTTATAGCATAATAGAAATACTTTAGAACATAATAGAAAATCTTACAATATAAAAGAAATACTTTAGAACATAAGGGAAAACTTTAGAACATAAGGGAAAACTTTAGAACATAAGGGAAAAATAATACATAAACTTTAATTACCCTTTTCTATAAGTAATTTCATATTGGTTTTTTACTACAATTTGTATTTATGATAATTAGGTTTTGGCATATTCATGGATTTAGATGATGTTCAAGATAATTCTCCTTCTTCCGCTGTTACTCATTCACGTAATTTTCATTGTTTTAATACTTTAATTTCAATTTACTTACATGTTCTAAACTTTACTTAGTTGTATATTTTAAAGTAATTTTGTGAATTTGTGGATTATGTTTAAAAGTTGTTTTAATGTTCTAGATTAATTCATTATGTTCTAAACTTTTCCACTTTATTCTATTTTAATTTAGTTACATGTTCTAAACTTTACTTACATGTTCTAAACTTTAAACTTTACTTACATGTTTTAAAGTAATTTTGTAAATTTGTTGATTATGTTCAAAATTTGTTTAATATTCAAAAAAAATTCTAGTTATGTTCTAAAGTAATTCTTTATTTTCTAAATTTTTTCACTTTATTCTAAATTTTATTATGTATGTTATAAAGTAATTTACTATGTTCTAAAGTTTATTCTTAATGTTCTAAACTTTTTTCATTATGTTCTAAAGTTTTCTATGTATGTTTCTCTTTCTCTTTATGTTCTAAAGTTTATTCTTAATGTTCCAATATTTTCTTCATATTTAATGACTTTTATTGTAAGTTCTAAATTTTTTTTTCTTTTTATGTTCTAATGCAGTTGGTGTTATTTATCGTACTCCTGAGGTTGTTGGATCATTTAGCCCTGGTGGTACCGCTAAGGAATGGATTCCAAGTGTTTCCGAAGAGTTAAAACCTCGTTTGGGGATGATATTCAAAGATCCCGAAGAGGGTCTTAGTTTTTATAAAGCATATGCAAATGTTGCTGGGTTTACTTCTAGGAAATCTACTACTACAAGGAAGAAGAATAACAAAGATATAATTGCTTTTCAATATGGAGTTTGTAATAAGGAAGGTTTTAAGGCAACAAAAAAAACCTATTGCTCAACAAACCGTTGATGAAGAAGGAAAAGTTCGTATTACTAGGAAACGTTTAGTGACTCGTGTAGGATGCAATGCTCACATATGTATGAGATATGATGCAGGAAATTATGTTGTTAGTCAATTCAAAGAAGAACATAATCATTGTTTATATACTCCAAGTTGTGCAAAATTTCAAAAGGATAATAGAAAAATGCATATTATGCATAAGAAGTTGATTGTTGATAATTCAAAGGTGATTTATTTTTATGTGCAAAATATTGTTTTCTTTGTTCTAAAGTTGAGCTTTAATCATAATAATTTTTCTTTCTCTTTGTTTTTGTACACAGGTAAATGTTGGTCCTGTGAGGTCTTATACAATGATGAAAGAATTAGCTGGATCACATGATAATGTTGGTGCATCTAAACAAGATTTCAAAAACTTTTATAGAGATTTGAAGGCTTATATTGCTGGATCAGATGCCCAAATGTTTGTGGATAACTTTCAAAATAAGAAATTGCTTTGGAGTGCCTTTTTTTTTTACTATGATGTTGATGAAGAAGGTAGACTTTGTAGAGCTTTATGGGATAATCCTATTTGTCGAAAAAAATTATGCACTTTTTGGTGATATGGTTTCTTTTGATACAACGTTCCAAACAAACAGGTGATGTTCTAAATGTAGATTTTTGTATGTTCCTAAATTAATATCTATCATGTTTTGATGTTCTAAACATATATTTCTTATATTCTAAATTATGTATGTCTTATGTTCTAGACATATATTGCTAATGTTCTAAACATATATTGCTGATATACTAAACATAGATGTATTATGTTCTAAAATATTGGCAAGTTTAATAATTAAATTAAATTTCTATGCTCTAAAGTTTATCCTTAATGTTCTAAAGTATACATTTATGCTTCACAATTTATCTTTATGTTCTAAAGTTTATCCTTAATGTTCTAAAGTATACTTTTATGCTACACAATTTACCTTTATGTTCTAAAGTTAATCCTTATGTTCTAATATTTTCTGCATATATAATTTGTGTATGTTACAGATATAATATGATCTTTGGTCCATTTACTGGAGTTGATCATCATAAGAAATGTGTTACTTTTGCGGCTTCTTTTGTAGCTCATGAAGATATATCATCTTTCGAATGGGTTTTCAAAACTTTTCTTAAATCAATGGGAAATAACGAGTCTGTGTGTTTGATTACCGATCAAGACCCTGCAATGAAAGTTGTTGTTCGTAATGTTTTTCAAACTACAGAACATAGGTTTTGTATGTGGCATATTATGAAAAAGGTGCCTGAAAAAGTAGGTCGGGGCAATTACCCAAGAAACTGATTTTTTGAAAAAACTTTGTGCATGTGTTTGGCATTTAGAGATTGAGCCAACAGAATTTGAAGAAAAGTGGAACAAAGTTATTTCAGAATTCAATTTGAACGATCATGAGTGGTTGGCTCACATGTTCAACATACGTGATATGTGGATTCTAGCGTATTTCAGAGATTTATTTTTAGGTGGCATCATGAGGACCACATCTAGATCCGAAAGTGAAAATAATTTTTTCACTATGTTCACAAATCCCTATCTAACTTTGATTGAGTTTTACATGAGGTAATATGTAAATGTCTAAATATGTTCTAATTTTAATCTTTATGTTCAAAAGTTTTTCTTTAATGCTTTAAAGTTTTTTTTTTTTAATAGTTTTACCATATTTTTCAAATCTCTTTTATTTTATAGTTTTAGGAAATAGCACTTGAGAAAAATTTTATTTTTAGAAATTTTTAAAACATAATAGAAACTTAGAAACTTTAGAACATAATAGAAAACTTTAGAACATAAATTTTATCTTAAATGTTGTAAAGTTTTAGTTTAATGTTTTAATAGTATTTAGATCATGTGTATTATTTTAATACGTTCTAATGTAATTCACTTTATGTTCTAAAGTTCTTTTCTATGTTTTAAAGTTAATTTTTATTTTCTATAGGTTTGAATGTGCATTGGATGCTCAAAGACACACTCAAAATAAAATGGATAATGATTCAAAGAATAAGCGTCCAGAGTGTAAGACTCCAATTCCTTTAGAAAAAGATGCTTCTAAGTTGTTTACAACAACAATTTTTTATGATTTTCAATATGAGCTTGAAATTGGATGTTTTAATTGTGGTGTTGAGGAGATGAAGAAGGACAATGAGATTTACATTTTCAAATTAAGGGAAGAATCTAGGAGGAGGGCTTTTGATGTTTTTTGATCCAACTACCATAGATACCAAGTGTTTTTGTAAAAAATTTGAACGTGATGGTGTGCCTTGTAGGCATATGATTTGGGTGTGGAAAGCAAGGATGTTAGAAAAAATTCCCAAGACTTACGTTTTAAATAGATGGTGTACAATGGCTTATAAGAAGCCCATTTTTGATTTAGAGGGTAATGTTTTAGAGGAATGTCATAATGCAGTAGATAAAAAGATGCTATTAAATGATTTGTGGTGTGAAATTCATGCTTGTGTGAGTTTAGTGCAAAACAATGAAGATGATCTAAGTGATCTTGTCAAAAAACTTCGAGCCATGAGAATAGATTTGGAACAGAAGAAAACGACAAATGGAAGCAACAATTTTTGTAGCAAAGTTAAAGACATTGAAATGCTTATTGGAGCTAGTTTACCTTTTGAAGTTTTGATCAAAGCTCCAAAAATTTCAAAAAACAAAGGTACAGGGGTTCATGTTCCAAATCAGGTTAATGTTCCAAATGATACCCCTATTCCAAATGATACGCATGTTCCAAATAGTGACAAGAGAATGAAGAGTGACAGAGAAAAAGCTGTTGAACAAAGTCAAAAGAAGAAAAGATTATGTAGAGCATGTGGAGAGCTTGGTCATCATGATAGTTGTAATTGTTCAAGGAAAGTCAAGTGATATTGTAAGTAAACATTTTTTTCTTATGTTCTAATTAGTAATAATTTTTAATTTATTACTAATTAGAACATAAGAAAAAAATGCATCAAATATGTTTGAATTAAATTTAATACTTTGAATTTTTAATTTAAACATTTTGTATATGTTTTAAAATGCATCAAATATGTTCTAAACTTTATAATGTGTTTATGTTCTAATTATTATTTTTTTTTCAGGTTGACTATGCTATTCGTACAACCGCATGGGACATTTTATTTATAGGAAATAGCATAAAAAAAAATTTGTGTAAATTTTTTTTTATATATTTTTTTTATTATTTTGAGAACATAATGACATATTATTTTTTGTCCAATTATTCTCTATATTCTTATGTTTACAATTATAATATAACATGATTTTATTATAACATAAGGAAAAAATATAATAGAACATAATAGAAAACTTTAGAACATAAGGGAAAACTTTAGAATATAATAGAAATACTTTAGAACATATGGATAGAAAATGTTAGAACATAACAGAAATAATTTAGAACATAATAGAAAACTTTAGAACATATGGTAAAACTTTAGAACATAATAGAAATACTTTAGAACATATGGGAAAACTTTTGAACATAAGGAAAAAATATAATAGAACATAGTAGAAATTTTTAGAACATAATAAAAACATTAGAACATAATAGAAAACTTTAGAATATAAGGGAAAAATATAATAAAACATAATAGAAATTTATAATGTGTTTATGTTCTAATTATTAATTTTTTTTTCAGGTTGATTATGCTATTCATACAACCGTATGGGACATTTTATTTTTAGGAAATAGCACATGGAAAAATTTTTGTGTAAATTTTTCTTTTATACATTTTTTTTATTATTTTGAAAACATAATGGCATATTATTTTTTGTCCAATTATTCTCTATATTCTTATTCTTATGTTTACAATTTAATATAACATGATTATATTATAACTCTTATTATTTTATTAACATAATTTTTGGCAATATTATAATATGATAATGGGGTTGGATGAGTATGAGATAACAGAATATTTTTCAAGTAATGTGAACCATTTATTTTGCGCAAATTTTGCAAGTAACAACTTAAATACTTTAGAACATTATAATAATAAATTAGAACATAATAAGAATTATTTTAGAGCATACACATGCAACTTAGAACATATTAAGAATTACTTTATATACATTAGAACACAATCAAAATAACTTGAAATTAGGTTAATGTTCCAAATGATATTAATGTTTCAAAATATACACATGTTCAAAACAGTCATGTCCATAATCATATATTTGTACAAAAAATTACTATTATATATACTTGAGATTTACACAATCAAATATCAAAATTTGTTGATTTTTGACCACTTTCTAGCCATCTTCAACACTCTTTTCCGTTCTTCATTTACTTCTGATGTTATAATCTTCCCACAATACTCCACTCGTAACCTTTTCATTTGCTCAAACTGCACAAAAAAAAATGACTTTAGAACATATACATGTAATTTAGAACATAATAAGAATTACTTTAAAACATTGACATGTAATTAGAACCTAATCATATATGTTTTGTACTTACATTATCCTTCTCTAGTCCTGAATTCCATTGTTTTTGACATTGGCCTTCATAGGATTCCGTGTGCTTCAACAGAAATACTCCACAATCATGTTTATTTCGGTTGCTTTTCTATATCATCTCAACATTTCTTGTTTCATAAGTGGAAATAATTGCACTCTTCTTATCAACTTCTTCATAAAATTCAAATGCTTCCAACTAAAAAATTAATAATATAATTAGAACATTGACATGGAATTTAGAACTCAATTACAATTATTTTAAAACATTGATATATAATTTAGGATATCATTAGAAATAATTTAGAACATTGATATGTAAATTATAACATATATATAAAATTTAAAGTACTTTAAAAGATTGACATGTAATATAAATAATTTCAAACATAATAGAAAATTATAGAACATAATAGAAATACTTTAGAATATAAGGGAAAACTTTCGAACATAATAGAAATACTTTAGAACATAATGGAAAACTTTAGAACATATGAGAAAACTTTAGAACATAAGGGAAAACTTTAGAACATAATAGAAATACTATAGAACATATGGATAGAAAATGTTAGAACATAACAAAATACTTTAGAACATAAGGGAAAACTTTAGAACATAAGGAAAAAATATAATATAACATAATAGAAAACTTTAGAACATAAGAGAAAACTTTAGAACATAATAGAAATACTTTAGAACATATGGGAAAACTTTTGAACATAATAAAAATAACTTAAAATTATGTTAATGTTCCAAATAAGGTTAATGTTCCATATGATATCAATGTTCCTAAATTTCTTTATAGCATAATAAAAAAATTATAATTAACTAAATCAAAACTTTACAACTTACCATTTTTGTAAAATCATCCCCATATTTGTCTTCTACCGAAACATTTGGTGGAAGAATCATGTTATCAATGACATCAAGAGTACCTTCCATAAAGTTGAAGCACAACAAATAATAGTGATCCGGTTAAACAGCCGGAAAGAAAACCTACGTTTAGAACATAATCAGAGACTTTAGAACATAACCAAACATGTGTTTATAACATAATCATATACTTTAAAACATTATAATAATAAATTAGAACATAATTAGAAATACTTTAGAACATTGACATGTAATTTAGAACTCAATAAAAATAAATATAACACTATATAAAGAAAAAAAAACTTACCAATTGAAAGTTGTTAAATGTTGTTACTTCGGCATTTGTCATTTCATTTCTCATTTGATGAAACAAAGCTTTTTTTCTATCTTCCCAACTTTCAGTATTTTTGATGTATTTTTCAGTGCAAAGAATGAGCTGGAAAAAAAAAATTAAAACTCAAGTAATTAGAACATTGACATATAATTAAAACAAAGACATGTAATTTAGAACATAATTAGAAATACATTATAACATTGACATGTGATTTAGAACTAAATCAGAACTACTTTAGAATATTTTTTGAAATACTTTAGAACATTGACATGTAATTTAAAATATAATGGTAAGATAATTAGAACATACATAACATTCAGTAGAGAAAAAAAATCTACTCTTCTTGTCTACACCACGCCTTTTGTTTTCACAATTTAATATGAAAGCATAAGCATCTGCAATGTTGTTGAACATGTGACTAATCCTGAAAGACTATCCATCTCATCTCTCCTAATCACCATTGCCGCTTTGTCAGCATACAAAAGTTCCCTAAAATGAGAACAAAAACTACATTAAATCAAAACAGCATTTTGAACATAAACAAAATACTTTAGAACATAAGCACATAATTTTAAACATAAGCATAGTGCTTTAGAACTAAATTTTAGAACATGACCAGAAATATTTTAGAACATAAACTATATTAATCAAAACATAATTTTGAACATTAGCATAATAGTTTAGAACATAAGCACGTAATTTTGAACATAAACATACAACTTTAGAACATAAGCATAGTACTTTAGAACATAAACTTGTAACATTTAGAACATTTACTTAGGAAAAATATAACCATCAAAATTGAATTTGATTAGAAAACGAAGATGGGAATTTCAAACATGTATTTTAAAACATAAGTTTCTACCTTAGAAGATAAATACAATATTTAGAACATAAATATATATATTTTATGACATAATCAAATACTTTTATTATAAGCGTATAAATATAGATGGATGAAATCTTACGCGTTATCTCCTTGAGCAAAAGCATACTCAGCTATCATTTTATGATCTACATTTTTGAAGAGTTTTTCATGAGTAACCATAAAAGGCGAACGCAAGTACATTAGAAGCTTATCCTTTCCTCTTTTTTTCTTTGTTTCTTCTTCTTCTTCTTCTTCTTCTTCTTCTTCTTCTTCTTCTTCTTCTTCTTCTTCTTCTTGCTTCCTATTCAATTGAATTAAAAAATAAAAACAATCAACAACTAAAATCAAATAATAATCAAACAACCGCCATAGCCTAAATCTAATTACCGTTGCTTATTCTCTTTGTTGTTCTTTTCTTCAACATGCTTCTTCTTTTCTTTTTTGGTTTTGTTGTCCTCTTCTTCTTCATTCAATGTAGGTGGATGATCTAGATCCAAAAAATTTAGAACATTAAAGGAACTTTTGACATAATAAATATAATAAATTTCCAATATACATATAACATTAATAAAGTTAAAATAAGTCAAACTTACCAACTATTGGTGAGGGCGTCAACAAATTGAAGCTTGGAGGTGAAATATCTTTATGCATCTTTTTTGGAGGAATTGGTGCCTTTGGTGTGTCATCATTCCTTTTCGTTTTCTTCTTTGTTGTACGCAAGAAAATTTTAAGCTTATTCTTTTGTCTAAACAAAATCAAAATTACTTTTAGAACATGGGCAAGTAATTTAGAACATAATTAGAAATACTTTAGAACATAAACATAAATACTTTGGAACATATTTGAAATACTTATAACAAACCCAAATCAAAACCAATATATATAACTAGAAAACACAAACCATTAATCCTATGTTAAAGTTTTACCAAATCGTCCAACATATGTTCTAAACCAAAACCAATGTATTAATTATTCCTATTATTAAGTTACATTGATTACCCTTTCTTTGCTTCAACTTTCTTTTTTGCCTCTTTTTCTCCTTCCTTCTCCTTTTGCCTTTCTCCTTCTTGCTCCTCTTGTCTTTCTCCTTCCTTCGCCTCTTGCCTTTTTTCTTGATTATTCTTTTGTCTTTGTTTTTGCTTTTCTTCTTGTTCTTGAAAATATAAAAGAAAACTTTAGAACATAAGGGGAAAATAAAATTGAACATAATAGAAAAATTTAGAACATAATAGAAAATACTTTATAATCAAAAGTACTTTAAAAGATTGACATTTTCTATAAATAATTTCAAACATATATTATAATCTTTAGAATATAATAGAGAACTTTATG